CTAGTAAATTCATTAGTCGTTAAGTTGAAGTACTGTGTTAATAAATTAAATTTCCAGTAATCTAAACTCTCAAATAGTGGCATAAATGTTATAAATGTGGTGTCAGATATGAATGTGACATTCAGATGAAAATAAGTTGTATTGTATTTTCCCAATGACTTGAAATCTATGTCATCAAAGTTATATTGAAACAAATCTAAAGATTTGATTTGAGTCTAAAGTTGTAAACAAATATAAATACAATTTTAAATGAAAAATTTGTCATTTAAAAGTTGCGTCCATTTACTTCATAGAATGCAATATATTGTAGATTATTGCCAAAATACTTGGTATATGTGAGACTAATTGCCATATTATATGTTTTATCAATGAGACGACGTGTCTGAAAATAAGATGAATCCAGTGATAATTGTTTGTTATCAGAGAAATCTATTGCCCAAAATTTATTTTTTATAAAAATAAAAAATTGTTTGTTAATCGGTTTGTTAAGTCTATTCTCTTGTTTGACAGTTTGTGCCCCAAAACTAATTCTGTTATTATTGGCAGCAAATGATTCACAGAAGTCTTCTCCCAATGAAAGTGAGATTAAACACAAGATCTTTACTGAAATGGTTTCAAAATGATTAAGAATTTTATAGAATTATCAATTCAATTGCAAACATCAAAGATATTATACCCAAAATTATTAAAAGCATTTTAAATATGTGATCATCTTTATAATATAAACCGTTTTAAAGTTCAAGTTATAGTAAAGTAATTTAAGTTATAGTAATAATTTGTGATAGATCGTAACAATTAAAACTAATCATTTCTCGTGTTTCAAATTATTGAATTTATTTGCTGCACACATTGTAATAAAATTTACTGATACTGTACTATTAAATAATACGAAATGAGTCCCAAAATAATGCATTTCGTATTCAATTTTACTATTTAGAAACAAATCAACAATGACTTACTATAATATAACAGGAATAATTGCAATAATATACATTTTAGCCCAGAAATTTTTGACTAATTTTATATGATTAATAATTATTAATTATGCAAACAATATTGGGGATATACAGTATAATATATTCATATTTTATCTAATATATTAATAATTTGTTAAAATCATTGAATTTATAATTATAGACATTATTTTTTATAGCAAAAAGATAGCAACAAATCTAAACAAATTGAATCATTTGTTTCACTGATAAGTGATGTAAATATTTCTTCAGAAGTTTCTCATAACAAGAACTCAAGGCTTTCGGTATTAATCGGCAATTCATAGATCTTTTCACACAACTCCTCATCATTTCATTTCACTAACTAATCTCACAATTCATTAATTTTTTGCCTTTAGTTATATAAACAACTTTTATATGTGAATTAAAATGAGGCTTAATACGTTTTATTTAATAAACTTTTTAATATTAATTTTAATATACAATGTTTATTCAGTGAATAGTGTCAAATTAAAAGGAGTTACCATCGAAGTATTAATTAATTTTAATTTTTATTAATTAATGTGTAATAAATACTTTTTAATTGTATGAAATGATAGGTCACACCCTATTTATACATCAGAAACAACCAATTTTCGGGATATTGTGTCGATGTTATGAATGAGATCTCAAAGATAGCCGGTTTTAACTACAGTCTATACAAAGCACCCGACGGTAGACATGGAGAGGTCTCACCAACCGGTGCTATCAATGGTATCATATTTGAAGTTTACAATAAGGTATGTATCAAAATGAAAATTATTATAATTAACTTTTTTGTATTAATTAATAAAACTTAGATTAAGAATGTTTTAAAAGTCTTTATTAAGTTTAGAGTAAAAATGTTTTAATAAGTATTTCAATTAAAAACAATAATTATAAAGTGATAACAAATACTAATATATTTTGACGGCAAAGGCGGCAGACTTTGGTATCGCGGACCTGACAGTCAGCGAAAGCCGCAAACGATACGTCGACTTCAGTCTCCCGATTATGAACTTAAGTGTGTCGGCGCTCATCCATAAGACAAACGCCGAGTACATCGAGTACTTCAAAGACCTGCCCCGACAGACACGCATCCGATAC